AAGAGAGTAGTTTTTATGAATTTAATGAAATTTTAAAACTTATTTTTATAATTTTGCTTGTTAGAATAAGCTGTAATAAAATAGATAGATGGTGCAATTTGCTTATTGATTAAAACCAAACATTATCATTATTAAAAGAAACAAAATAATTATTAAATAATCTGGTTATATGTGAAAAACTTTCAATTCGCCAAGAGCCACAGCTCCATCATGAATTGGAATGATTTAATAAAAGGTGTATGATCATTTTATAAATTTACAATACTTACCTTAAAAACCATTTCTCATATAATTTTTCATTTATTCACAATAAACTTTACATACCATCCTATAAAAACTAAAGTGAACAAAATTATATGTATAGAAAGGGGAAAAAAATGCATGAACATTATATATATAAAAACATGAAATATTTCACTGAAAAAAATATCATAAAATGTTATTTTCACTATTAAGATTGCATTATATACATATACTTTTATATATGTAATATTATACGTTTTAATTGTAACACAAGTAAATTTAATTATTGTCAACGAATTAGTGATTGTTTAAGAATAAGAAAGATTAGCTAGCAACAGTTCTGTATAGCAAAAACATTTAATTTTTTTTTTTTATCTTTTTAGGAATACTTTTGGGGGTTCAGGATATCCAATATTATATTCATTTTTAGGCCAATTTCTTTTCACATGTTCATTGAGTCAATGAAAGGCGTCTCAATGCCCATTTTTCTCATTTAAGACAACTTTATATAACAGAATAAAATATGTGATCTAAAAATTCATTCAATCTCACAAGAGATAAAAAATTATCTTTTCATTTATATATATTATATTATATTTTATCATTATTTGTAATGCACACGAGACTTGCAAACAATAATTTTTCATTACAAATAATTAGATTTATCTAATTTTGATAAGTTAATCAAATCAACTCGATGTTGAATTCTTTATCAATAAAACTAATAAATAATTATTTTTAATCTAAATTAAAGTGTTTTAATTTAATATTTTATAATTAACACAAAATTATATGTGACCAATTTATATGTTGAATTAATTTTACAAATAATTGATTAATACATTTATATATATTAAAAATAATTAGATTTATCATTATTTCACGTGACAAAAGCAAACAAAATAAAAGAAAGACATTAATACATAAACTCACTGTAAGTAGCTACATAACTATCTTTCTTTAACAAACTATTAGATACATATTTTTTCTTGTAACACCAATAAATTTTTCTCTTTATGAAGACGTTTGGTCTTACACTCAACAACTATAATTCATAAGAATAATTAAATTTTGTTTGTGTTAACAAAAGTTTTCCTAAAAATATTTATATAATTTTTCCTCTTAGAAATCAAGAAACTAAACTAAAACATAATTACTTTCCCAGGTTGGAGAATTAAAAAAAAAAAATTCTCTACCAAAGGTCTTCTAATAAATGTAGATACATTATAATATCACATTCGGTGTGATGTAATATTTAAAAAAAAGAGTTTAATACCTTCTTTTAGTTCTCTTATTATAGTTTTTTTCTTTAATTTGATTTCATAATTTGTAACGTTCATTTTGGATTTTTTTTTTAAAACAAGTTAATATAATTTTTCTGTTAAATCAATGGTAGGGATAGTTCAACAATAACACAAAACATAAATAATAAATAATAAATTATGAGTTAAAATTGATTTATATACTAAAATGAGATATAAAATGTCATTATAATACATAAGTTAGGTGAAAAATATGACTTAGTTAGAAAAATAAAAGCAAATTAAGAAGTTCAAAAAACAAGATGAGAAAATTAAAAAATATTATTTATAAAAATGGAAACTGAAATGGTAATGGAAAGAATGAAGAAGGTGTGAGAGATGCAATAACAGAAAGGAAGAACTCACTGGTTGTGAGTGGAAGGGAGAGGCTTGGCCAAATGCGTTGGGTGGTTTTCTCCAGCTACGATTACCAAAATGTTAGGTCCTTCTTCAATTTCTGCCACTGCTACTGTTGCCGTTACTCCTCTTCTCAGGTTCATCTCAGCCTCTCTTTCAGAATCAGACCTTCGACACCGCGAACACACCACCACCAACAACGCCAAACCAATCACTCCAAAAATCGGTGCAAGACCACCGTACAGAAACGAAGCCGAAGAGTTCCACCATTCGTACCTCCCGGTTTCATTGTTAGCCATCGTCTCGTTCATTTTATCACTCAATCCTCAAACATTTTTCGCACACAAATAGAGATTCAACAGCAGTTATATTCTATATATATCTACTCAACCAGACTCTGTTTTTTCTACACAACTCAACCAAACTTCTAAGTTCTATCTTTAACTTTTTTTTCTTGTTACTGCTCTGGAACTAATTAAGGGGTTTTTTTTATAGGTGGTTATGGACACCCATTATTTAATTTCAACCTAGGGTTCGAATTTGGAAACTTATTTTTACGTTCTTCAAAGACTGTGTATGGATTATTATTATTATTTAAATCTATGGAATAATAGAATCTTCATATAGTTTATTTATAATTTTTGGTTCCACAAAATTTTGGCGCGACTTTAAGAGGAAAATAAAGGTTATGAAAATAAAATAAATCCCTTTAAAATTAAATATTGATATTTTTCTTCTTTTATTTATAAATTGGGTGATGATGGTGGCCACGTGGTTTTTGCCTTATCATAAATCCAAAAGTCGTTGATTTGAACATTGGATTGGTCACAGATAAATCATGAAAAATATGGTTTTGTGGTAAGGATAAATTTAAGCATTTATTTTAATTTCTTAACGTTGTCCATTCAGAAAATGGATTCTTGCGAAATTCCAAAACGAAAACTGTGTGTGTATATATATCACTCAATTTTATGTTACCTAGATTTAATCACACACACATTGTTCCATTACATGAAAATGATGTTATTTTTTAAATTGAGACGTTTAGTAGATCATTAAAATATGTGAAAAGAAAAATCTTGAGTGATAAATTTCACAAAAAAATATACTGACAGTGTTAAATGGTGTAAAAGGCATAATTAAATTAAATATATCATATATTTAACATCTAATGAAATAAAGAGGTAGAAAAAAAATATAATAAGTGTAAAGAATTTTTACAATAACTAATATATAAATAATTGCTTAATGGAAAAAAAAGTTCCAGTAAAAGTGGAAATTGCTGTACTAAAATTCTTTGCGGTGAGATTCACACATTTTATAGAGTTGTTAGAAAACTGAAGCTATCATATATTCTTTTTCACTTCGATCTATTCTTCCATTTCAATTACCGTTCACGAGTCATGTTCTTATCCCAATTAGATTTGTAGTGAAATTAAGTTTTGGAGAGAAAATAAAAATTACATGAATTATCTATCAATGAACTCAATAGTGTTGGAAAAATCACCACAAAAAGTAATCATAAATGAAATTAATAAATATAGAAAGAGATACATTTATAAAAATAATTGCTTTTAGACTCTTGAACTGTGGGAGAATTCTTAGGAATCACAGCAATCACATCTTCATGTAGTAGGCATAATCTCAGCATCTAAGTTTCCATAAAATAGTAAATTTGAACTTTTCTGCTAAACTCCGAGAAGGGATACGATCGATGACCATTTGAAAATTCTAAAAGTAGGAACCTAGTTAAGATAATGGTCACTTTTTACTTTTCGGTCACAATCCACACTCTTTAATCAATATGTCTATGGTAGTAATTAACATGAATGTATTTGTACAAATGAAATGGAAATAAGTAAAACTCCTAATTTTCTTTGATAGTAAGAAAGACAAGTATGTATACATAATATTATTTTATATATATAAACTTTTATTTAATATTTAGATATTGTTGATAAAGAATTAAAGAAATAATATAAAATAAATTTAATTACTATTTAGGTTTTTATATTTGTTGTTTTTATTTATATTGGTCTCCTTAATTTTTTTTCAATTAAATATTATTTTTGTGTTAAATCAATTTAATTTAGTCATTTTTATTAAATTTGCATAAATGAAATTTGGATAGTCTATGTAGTAAACGTTGCTTGTCAGTTCATAATAAAAATTTGCAGTTTTGGTTACAAAAAAATTTGCACTGGATGGGCTTACAATCTTATTAAGAAAAAAATTGTACTGGTCGTTGTACGTTTTTAATATTTTTAAAGATAAAATTATGACAAAATTTTAAACTTTAAAGTGGATAACATCTGATTAATTAAAACATGATATTTAACTTTAATAATAAAAAAAACAACTCTATACATAGTAGAAAGAAATGTAAATGATTCACGATAAAAGAATTATGATGTTTTTTCAATTATTTTGATAATAAAACACTTGGCTAACATGAGCGTGGAATTACTGTAGAGTTAAAAATATTTTAAATTTTATAAGAACAATCCCTTTATTTAATAACAGGAAAAGTATTATATTTAAATTAAACTTGTACTCTTTTTAAAATATCTAAATTTATATCGTTATTTAGTTTTTAAATTAGGTTAAAAAAATAAATTTTAAATTTCTTCAGCCGATTCTGAAATGTCCTACTTTTGTGAAATTATCAAATAAATTATGGGGACTTAGATTTCTTTCATGCCACTAAATTTTTTTCGACCACCTATTCAAAGAAATATAATGTTAAAATAATCCGACAGATCGGTGAAGACATGTCAAAAGTAATTATATATATATATATATATATATATATATATATATATAAAAGTCAATACAACTTTTAAATTATAAATTTATATTATTATAATTATTCATATTAAATTTTATTAAAGTCAAACAAATAAAATTATAAAATAATTCATAATTAATTATATTTTAAGAAATATATGTTTCATCAATTTACATTTATATAAATAAGATATCGAATAATTTTATACTAATATAATTTATATTAAAAGAACGTTTTGAGGTTTGAAAAAAAAAACTTATCCTATAAAAAAATACTATAGTAAACAATATAATATACATAAAGAAAGAAAGTGAATAAATAAATGATACATAATATTTATTGATAAATTGTGAAGACACGGGAGATTGGAGATTTGATTACAAAAACAAAAATTATGTAGAAATGACAGAAAGAAGACTTTGCCAACGGCGGAGTGACTACCTAGACTAACACCAAAAACGAAGATACATTATAAGGTTAACTCCGTCAGGCGAGGAACTGCTGTTGCTTTTCTATCCATTAACATATAACCGGACAGTAAATGCACACCAAATCTTTAAATAACTGCAAAATATGTAATCTCATGCACCACTTTTCCCTTCTCTCATTGGGTGAACTTTGCAATCAACTTATCCACATGGATGATGATATCATCTATTCGGGGCCTCATAGCAGCCTGGGGCTGAAGCATCCATGACACGAACTGGTGAAAAGCTTCTGGATATGGAGGCTTAGGTCCAGCTGGCCATTTCACCTGAGCATTTACTATAGCCAATTGCAGGCTTCCACCAGACTCTCCCAGTGCATATTCAAATGGAGATACCCCATACCTGAACATTTCAACCATCATCAGATACAAATAAACAATTAAACATGAACTATATCTGCCACGATATAATTCTAACATGAAACCCACGAGGAGGAAAAAACCAAGACATTTCCAGATAAAAATCATCATGATAGAGCTTTGGAAATGTAGTTCGATGGCCAAATCAGTGAAATATGCAAAGGGACACCATAGCTAAAAGATTTCGTTTCTCGTCATACTTGAAGAAGTAGAGCTTGCTCGAATTTCCTTTTCAACAACTCAAACGAGAGTTCATTTCAATTCCTGCTCGCACATCTCCGTTCAACTGCCTTGGAATTCGTGGAACATAAATCAAATACACGTTGTATTTGATGAAAGCATTTCTCCAAATCAATACCCTATGCAGAATATCATTATGTGACAAGTTTTGTAGCTTTCTTTTACACAAATACACCACAATTTTGAAGCCATAGCTCTGGCTAATAAGTATGATTTGCCAATCAACCCAAACAGCAGTTGACTTTCAAGCATAATGTTCTTGGTTACACAACTATTACGGCAAGAATTGGTCAGGGCATAGCAAATAAAATAACTTATTTTCCGACTCTCCCTTTTTTTCTCTTATTTTATAGGTCATACTCAAGCAACAAAAAAATGTGAATCCACCATATGTTGTTTTTTCACTACAAAACAACATATTGCAATTCCATACAATATTATAATGGTGAGTGATGGTAATAGAATAACTAAGAAAACCTTCCTCACGCTATTTAAAATTTTTTAATACGTTAATTTGCAGAATCTGTATGCACAAGGGTTCCAAATCAAATGCATTGCACATTGAAACATGATTTTGATGAAAAGAATAAAAACTTAAAGAAAACCCGAAAAGAATTACCAAAATATGGTTATCATGCTGTATAAAGGCACAATTAACAAACGTTCTAACCATAAAAGTTAGCACAATCAGGCAAAAGAAGGATTAGTACTCACATTATTGCATATAATGTGCATCCTAGTGACCAAACGTCAGTCCTCTCATCTATAGAAGCTTGGCTTGGACAATCCCACAGCTCAGGAGCTCGGAAAGGTGCAGAGCAGTGTTCAGCTGCCCATTCCTACATAGGAAGATAAGCAGCAATTAGCAGGTTAGAAAATCCTAGCCAGGTAACCGAAATGTAACTATGATCCTTCAAATTTGTAAAGCTTGTTCAAAACATAAAAGCTACTAAAAGAATTTAATATTGCCAAAATGGACACATAAGCGAAGCAATTGAAATGTTTAAATGAAACTTAGAACCATTTTATGTACAACAACTTCTATATGCACCTATCATATTAGGTAATACAATTCACAAACTTCAAATGTAGTAAAAACATTTAAAAATTCAAAAATAAGATATACTTTTAAGGCACAGCATATTCAGAACTGTGCTGAAGAAATTATCAGGATTGCCAGTGGAACTGCCAAGACATTAAAATGAAAGAATATCTTTATCGATAAACCATATTAGAGTATAATGTGTAATATGAAAAATATTACCTTTTCATTTTTCTTTTTCACTTTAGAATATTCTATTGTTTGTTGTGCCAGTTGTAACAGTTTGTTATTCTGTTGCCAGCTTTTGCACAACTGTACCCTAAGAGGAGCTTCTATAAATGCTCCCACTGTACTCTGTTCCCTGTTAGCTAAATGAATGAAACAATGTTTACAGTTTAACCTTTTTCTCTTTTAATTTCTCTAAGATGGTATCTTAGCCATTGATTCAAATGGTAAATCCTAATCTTCCTTGAAATTCTTTTTCTCCCATGACAACCTCGAATTCCATCTCTTTCACATTGAGTCCTCCTCGGTACCTAACTGATTCAAGATTCCGATGCTAATCATCAATCCTGCATATGAAGATTGGGAATATAAAATGCTGCTTTTTCAACTTCAATCGGTGTTGATTTTTGTGAGAATTCTCCTGTTAAACCTATTACTATTAGACTCATCATCACTCTTGCTCTCACTAGTAATTGGGAATTATTTCATTTGAATGTGAATCATCCTTTTCTTAATGACTTCTTGAATGACACAATAAATATGGTGCAAACCTGACAATTTGAAGTTGAAGAGAAATCTTTTGTTTGTAAACTGAACAGGGCCCTTTATAGCCTTGAACAAACACACGCAGGCAGTGGTTTGACAGAACAAAAATCAAGCTCACTGTTTATGCAATCATCACTGTCATCTCATCCACAACTCATTCAGCAGATTACTAAAAATCTGAGCTCCACATTTTCTATTTAAACAGCTGGGTAATTCGGACTATATTTTGGGTATTGAGATCAAACACCTACTTGACAAATCCCTTCTTATGACTCAAAGCAGGTACTTAGAGATCACCTACACATGACAAATATGGCTGATGCTGAATCAATTTCGACTCCTATGACCTTTACATGCAAGTTGTCTAAAGCAAGTGGTGATAGATCCAAATCTTTATATAGATTTGTAGTTGGTGCCTTGTAGTATGCTACTCTCAGAAGATCTGAAATAAGCTTTGCAATTAAAAAAAGTCTTCCAATTCATGGCAAATCTCATAGGGTCAATTTGTTTGAAGTGAAAGAGTAGAGTGGAAAGTGACTGATGCAGGAAAATAAGAAAAAAGAAAGTATTTTCCTTGTTGATGCCAATTGGGATTCTGATATTGATGAGAGAAGAATCACCTCGCTGATTCTGCTATCTTCTAGGAACATAACTTGATCTATTGGTGGTCAAGAAAACAGCAAGTTACAACCAGATCAAGCACATAAGCAGAATATCACAGTATAGCTCAGACCTCAGCCAAGTTAACACGGGTTAAAGCTTTGCTAAAGGAACTTCATGTTCCTTTTACTACCTTGTCCTGCTCTATGATAATCAGAGTGCAGTAGCTATTACTCACAATTCCGTCTTTCACAGTCAGCCTAAACATTCTGAAACTTTTGATCTATCACATTCCAGCTCCAGGTAATGGGCAGATGTGCTCAACAAGCCCCTCTACCCCAGCAGGAGGATGGGGTGGGGGCGCAGGGATTAGAGTATAATACATGTTAAATGGAAACTATTACTTCTAGAATATTTTTTTGTTCCATCTGTAACAGTTCGTTATTCTTCCTTTTCACTACTGTACCCTAAGGGATGCTTCAATAAATGCTCCTTCTGTATTATGCTTTTGGTGGGTTAAATGAAATGAAAAACATTTACCATTTAACTTTTTTCTCTTTGAATTTCTCTATGAAACAATTTATAAGAAAAGGGAGAAGGGAGAAAGAAGCACCTGTAACTGGAGTGCTTCTGATCTGTTCGTAATTTGCTTCCTTGCAGGACGAGCACTGCCAAAATCCATCAGTATGGCAAGAGGTGGCTGTCCTTTTCTGTGTGTTATGAGAACATTACCAGGTTTCACATCATTATGTGCATAAGGAGGATCAAAGCTGTGCATGTGCTTGAGTCCTGCACAAAGCTGTTGACTTCACAGGGTTAAAGGAGTGAGTTTCGGAACAAAACAAATTGTTTTCTTCTTCTACAATATAATTCTTACAATAACAGATAGCCCCATGTCGCAAGAATTGCTAGGTTAATACAAAAATAAGTTATGAGTAAGTATATATGAATCCAAGAAAGGCTATAATATTAGTCAAAAAGAGATTTAGTGCCAAAAATCTTTAGCTTCAACAGTGATAGCATATTGCATAATAGAAAGATGGTTCATACCTGACGAAATATTTGAAGAACATCTGAGGTGGAATAGAATTCCTTCTTGGTTTTCATTACTTTGGCATTGTCTAGCAATGTTCCATCCATATGAACTGGAAACAGCAAGTACGCTTCATGGTTCCAAGACGTTTCTTGGGTAGGCTGCAAGAATAAAGGACATCTTGAATGCAACTATAGAAGCCCAAGAAATGACACAGCAAGAAGGAATAGTATTAAGCCAAATCCTTCCCAAGGAAATGAGAAAATCTACGCGTTCACTTTCTAAGAATAGTTTCATTCCTACTACACTATCGATTCAGAGGACATATTACCAAAAGCAAACTTGTTACTCTTACAGACTTTATCAAATTACAAATTGTAGAATAATAAACTTTGATCAACTTGGTCACAACATGAATTGAGTTGCAATGGTGCCTCATTATAATCTCTTCACAACCACATATCTTAATAACATATTATCATTGAATTGAGTCTCGCCAAGAAAATTATGAGATCATTGTAGCCAGCCAATACAAGTAAAATAGAGAAACAAAAAACATTTTGGCCAGAAGGCTGCTCAGTCCAATCAAGATACAAGGGATAACATTTTGCATTCAAAGAGAATATCAGAAATTAATGTGTACTCATTTTCTATTGCCTAGATATTTCAGTGTTCTAATTAAGCTCAAATGTTCAATCACAACAAACAACTGATATCATAAACACGAAATTAAGATAGTAAAGTAATATTCCCCACAACATTATAAATCGTAGAAGCAAATGTAGTAGAGCCTAGAATTCAGGAACTTCATTCAACAAACAAAAGCCCTGTTTGAATACAACTTTTAAAAATAATTGTGGCATTAAAAGCAGAAAAACAAAAAACATGTCTGATGCCAATCGTTTTTATTTTAAGTTCTGAAAACATGTTTCTAAAAACAAGAAAAGAAAAACGGAAAAATATTTGAAGATGATTTTTGAGGACGTGTTATGTTTTTGTGCTTCTTTGCACCCTTGAAGATCATGCGCTTCTCTGTTCCATGATCAAATCAAAATCCTACACCGATGCACACACCCATCATCATCAGGGTTCATGCACTCGAGCTTGACTCAGTCAGCACAGCAGAAACTGTTTGGCAGGGTTGTCATGTGGGTTTCGGGGACCAAGAGTATGTATGTGATCTGAGACCATGGAGCAGGGTGACCCATGTTCGAAGAAGGATGGGACCCCTGGGATCCAGGTTTTCCAGCAGGTGGTGCTTGGACTTCACAGCCTCAGCTATGCAGCCCTTGATCGAAGAAATCGGGGCAGAGGTTAGGGAGCAAGAGCATGGGAAGTAAAGAGCTTAGATGGAGGTGTGCCGTCCAGAACGATGGCCTCATGACAAAGCGGTTGGACAAGATGGTGGGAAAAATTAGAGGAAGAAGGGTGGTGGTTGGTTGTCGTAGAAGCCGAGGGTGGAGGAGGGTGGTGTGAAGGGCAGTTAGGAAAACTGTTATTGAAAATGTTTTTCTTTGTTCAATTTTCAGAAACCATCTAAAACAAGTTCTAAGAAAAGTTTCAGATAAGATACATTTCGGCAAATTAAGTCGTAGTCCAGGAACAAATATTTAAGTGAAAATCCGGACAGAAAAGGCATGTGTCATAGCTGAACCAGTAACACTCTTTAGTCAACTTCTGTTTATCCGAGAAAAAAATCCGAATTGTGATACAATAACGAGAGGAATACGTGTTGGCTACAAAAACTACTTACCTTAACAGAAATAATTGCATGATCAAGAAGTGGGAGCAGATTGGGATGATTGAACAGTGACGAGACACGGATCTCCTCCCTGACCAACTCCAGCTGTTCATTGTTCTGAATGAGGACCTTTTTCATAGCATAAGTCCCATCCTCTGCAGAAAAGAGATGGTATAGTTAATGAATAAATTTCAACCACAGAACCTTACGTTGCCACCTACTTAAATTTTATTTTAAGAAGACCACCGAATAATTTTAGTTTCTATAATAACGCTCCAATTTCTTCGTCACTGATAATCGAAATTGAACCGACACCACCATCATTGCATAATAACCCAGAATCTCCTATTTTCAATTGCTGAAAGGAGTGGTTAAATTAACCGCCAAATCAATTACCACCACCATCACAACGAGAAATAGGACGTCCAACACATCCGATCTAAAGAAAAAAATTGCGTTAAATATATCTCTAAGAATAAGCCATAGGCTCCAACGCGTGGATTCAACAAGTATTCAAAAACAACAAGCTCGATTCATAAACTAAAATTACTTTCTCAATATCCACAAAACAAGACTAAGCAAACGCTACACATCAACAGAATTGCATAACACTATCCACGAACAAGCCACATCCTCCAAGTCCAGGATTCCATAAACATTCCAAAACAACAAGCTCGAATCAGAAACTAACTCAATCAGATCCGAAAATAAATCTCCACGAATAAACGAGTATCTCATTTGGCGAGGAAATGCCATCACTGATCAACAAAAACGCATGTAAGAATACAATAAAATAACACAGATCACACAGATCAGGATACAACAAGGTCAATTTCAGGAGAGAAAAAAAAACGAAACACGAAAGAAAGAAAGACGTCAAGTAATGAAACGAACCGGAGAGATGAGAGGAGTCTTTGAGCTTCTTGGCAAGGCCACCGGCGGCGGAGTCGTTGATAAGCTCCTTGACGAGGTAGACGTAGGCGAAGCCACCTTCTCCGAGCTGGCGCACGATGCGGAAACGATTCTCGTTGATCCACGCATCGCCTCCGCTGTTAACGGAATCGTACAGCGCGTTCAAACCAGAGAATGAGCACCCCATATTCTTTTCCCTCTTGTTCTCTCCCTGCTCGTGTGGGTGTTGGTGTTGCGTTGCGTTTGTGTACAACAGAAACAATTATTAAGAAAAGAACTGAAATCAGGTGTCCAAATTGATTTTCGAATACCTGATTTCACGTTATTTGTGTTGGGAGCAATGAGATTCGTAATTTGCAAGCGTCAACCCTCCTCTCCTATATGTTATTCCGGGTTTCAGATTTTCTTAAGAGCCAACACCTCTCTTGGATCCCTCCATTCTCAGCCCAACGCTTGTCTCGTTTATTTCAGGCACGCATTCCGTGCTTTTTTCATCCATACATTTATGTTCTAATTAAGAATTTACTTCAATTTCCTTACAGTCATATACGCCAAATTCTACACATTAATAATATTAATTCATTCATGATTAATGACTAAATAGTGAGTTTCTGCAGTGATATTCTAAATGTCAACTTATAAAAAATCACCCCCGACGCCATTTCCAAAATTGTCCTTCTAAAAATTAATTAATTTACTTCATATGATATTTTTTTTTTCAATTTCACTGTAAAAAAAACAGACAACAACATTTATTCATAATTTATTGATTAGGTAAAACTTTGCTGGTATTTTCTTTTACCGTTATCATAAGCTTAAATTTGCTTTGATTATTCATAATTTATATCGTAAAATTATGTCCTCGGTTCATTTTAATTAAATTTTTTAAATATTGTTTTGACGACGCTTGCCCAACTTAGGTTTGATCCCAATGTCAAAGAATGAAATCAATATTCAGAATTGATGGTGATAAAATAAATTAAATAATAAACTTAATAAAACTAACTATGCACATCCACCTAATTACCTAGATCTGGACATCACAGTTGACTGAATACATGAGTGGCATGAATATGGAGTAAAACAATAGGAGAATTTCAACAATTAATATTCTTGTTAAAAACCGCAAAATAACAAAGAGCTTAGTTGAAGAATTAATTAACTGTGCGTAAATAAATAACTAAATGAATAAATATATCATTACTTTAAAATAATTAATTTTTATTTTTATTTTTACTTTTGTTACAGCACCTTTTTATTTCTAGTATAATGATTAAGTGTGAGTGCTTTATCAAAATTATTGGGTTAAAAATTGTAAAAGTTGAGAATTAGAAATGAATATCTCAAAATATCGGGTTGGAATATTAGTTTGGCGGTAATTTTTTTACTCAAACCTTGTTGAAATATTCTTGGATCAACTTTATTAGAAATTGAATTTTTTTAATATGATTATGTTGATTTTCTCTTTCTTCATGAATAATTGTTCTAAGAACTCATTATTTTTCAATCGATATCACTTGTTGAATCAAATATTTATTACTAGATCAAAAATTAATTAATAGATATCAAATGTAATTTTTTCTATTTAAAATGTAGTAGTTTGAATATTATTGTGTCTGGTTTTGATAAAAATGTCAAAATGAATTTTAACACATGAGTGAATATGATTTGTCACGGTTTCAGCCAAATTGAATTGGAAAAGTTTTAATTTTTTTAAAATATGTTAAACTGAAATCAACTCACTAAACTACAAGTTAAACGATTTCGAACTGAATTGAAGATAAGTTGACCCTACAACTCACTAATAATATTTCTTTATTAATTTTTATTATCATTTTTTTGTAAAATTTTCAACTATTATAGTTACTATAATATTTGAATAATTAAGTTAACGCTTTGATTTGACTATTACAAAAAATAAAAATCATGTCCACTCTCATTGTATTACAACAAATATATAAAATAAATTATAAAAAAAACATTTATAAATAGTTAACCCATTAATTCATTAATCCGTAATGAGTCGCAGGTTAAAAAATGTATGACTCGTAAAAAAATGAATTCAAGTTGAAGCAATATTTTGTTTAGCTCAATTTATAATGAACCAACCTATGTAGATTGGATTGTCTCTCTATTTTAACACTCCTACTCATTAAGAGTTCGAACGAGACTAGATTGAAAAAAAAATTAATTTTTTTAAATTTAAATTAAATTAAACCTAACTACGTGTTAAAGATGGATAATGCAACTTCTTTCTGGCCTTCCATAATTTTAACATACACTTTTAAATTTTTTATATTTTAAAATATATCATGTCAAATACAATCTTTTTATTTCAAATTATATATCATAGAATATAAAATACAAAATATATTTAAAATTTTACAATCTAAAATATATTTATTTTTCAGAATATATAACTTAAATTATAACTTTTGTATTTTAAATTGTCTATTTCAAAATAAAATAAATATATTTCAAATTGTATATTTTAAAATCTAAAATAAAAAATACAATATAAAAAATACTTAAATTTACTTCTAAATTACAGACTCCTTATGGAATCACAATTAAAAATTATGAAAATTATGGAAGTGCAAGAAAAAGATATTCACAAGACATGGTAAGAAATCTCTACAGGGCACGGTAAAGATATAAAAATATAGATCACATCTTTACAGCCTCTACCAATTCACAATAATTCTTTTTCACTCATTAATACAAAACCCAAAAAACACAGCGATTGATTGAGACATTTCGAGATATCTTCCGGTGTGTGCAAATTTAACACGGAGTATCAAAATTTTGTTATTTCATTTCAAGACTTGCAATGATCTGCACTGCTTTTTTTTTTTATCAAATCTTGAACACCAAAAAAACAACGCAGGATCCATTTTCTACAACTTGGTAGCAAAATAAAAACTATTATTCCGTTGAAAAATAAGTGAAATAAATAGGATTTATTTCAGAGTAACCACGATATCCAGATTTAAAATTAATAAATCTGGTTTTATTTTCCTCGGTTTTCCATCTGAATAGCATACCCTTCCACTTCCACCCAAGCTGCTACACGCTCCTCCTCATTTGCAGTAAATAATCATTCTGAAAACCTAAAAGCATCAATACCACCTGTCAAGGAATATTGACATTGCGGCTGATTAAACTGCTGGTTGTTGCTGAGTAATGCAGTGTATATTTCCACCGCCCAAAACAATCTCCCTGGCACCTTCAACTCCCACAACCTAATAACCGGCAAACATTTGAAAATGTGATTCAGTAATAAGAACCATACAAAATACTAAAGCAATATAAAAGAGTACAATATAAAAGATTAGTACTATGCTGCAGCTCGGCCAAACGACAGCTATATACACCGTCAAATTTATTCAATAATTCATGATGATAGTCAATGCAAAAATCCAAATTATTGAATAGTGTTATAACTATAAAAACAAAAAGCAAATCCTATAATACAAAATACCTAAATTATATGTATTACTAAGAACAATATTTATTAATATATTTTACATACCCTTTTGGTTAATAAGTTAGACCGACTAGGAAGTCGACCAGGCTGACCGGCTGGTGGGACAATGTACCCTTTTAAGGGATATTCTTCAAGACGTTTTAGAGAAAATGTACCCTAAATTCCTATAAACCATTCGTAAATATTACTTTATTTACACAAACAGCGGTAATTATTGCAACTATACGTGCCTCTACAAGATTCTTTAACCAAAAAAAATATCATGTTAACAAAAGTTTTACTTACTTCATGATGAGGGAAGGCATTAGATAAGACTCGGATAGCTTCGTCATCCCACTTTCTATCTCCAAATTGTGGTGCAATGATAGCTTTATTTGCAATGTAAAAGTTTACGTAGGAAGCAGCAAGCCTAGTACCCGCAGGTCTTGGCTTAGCCTCACCGTCCTAGCAAATATAAAGTTATAACGTATCAAAAATTAAATGGAAGTGAATCTATCTGCTTCATAATTCATCACTCACTCACAATTGCAATAAACAGACAACAACAATCTTTAACTATATCATCAGGTATCAATGTTGCATTGAGCTCAGTATGTTAATCTTCACATTATCAGTTGCAGTATAGCGCCATAGCCATTATTAGAATATCACAGTTAAGCATACAACCGACTATTGCAAACCACTGTCACTAAAAGTTGCATGAAATATTTGTCTAGTTTATGGCACCTCATTTTGCTTATTTTAAATTACAATTATTAGGCTAAATTAAATTTCAAGTCCCTTATAAATTTGTGTATTTTCCATTGAGTCTCTATTAAATTTTTTGCCAATTGAGTACTTGAATTTTTTATATTTTTCAATTGAATGACATGATTGGTATCTTGCCGTCATCTTACTTCCTTATCTTCATGTGTTAAGAAACATGAAGTTTTGTGATTAATATAAAACAATATAGTGGTTAATGTAAAATGAAAAATGTTAACTTGCAGGATCATATATCGCTTTGCTCAATTGGCGTTGGATGTGAGTCATATGACCTTTCCTATCTCTCTCTCCATCACTATGTGCATCTATGGTCTCCAATGATAATCCATACATCTTGGGTTGACAAAATTGCAAAAGATAGTGATAATTTTAAAACATGTCTAGTCAATCTTTTCCTAATATTCTTAATAAACGAACTTTGTCTCCTTTCTTTTAGTTCACTTTGTTATTTGGGGTCCTTCCACCCCATCTAGTTATCGTTATTTAGTTACCTATATTGATGATTATCCTAATGTACTTAGATTTGGTAAATGAAGAATCAATCATAAGTGTTTTTTTATATTTCAAGCTTTTTTAATGAAATCAAAAACAATTTGATATATCACTTTTTCGGAGTGATAGTGCTCATGAATATTTGTCTCACCAATTCTAGCAGTTCATGGTATCCAATGATATCCTAAATCAATTTCATGTTCGTGTACTCCTCACAAAATAGAGTAACCGAACACAAAAAACATACGTCTTATTGGAAATACTTGACAATTCTTCCCATTCATCTTCCTCGCCATTTTTGGAGAATGCTGTCCTTACAACATGTCGTCTCATTAACCAGATGAGATCATATGTCCTTAATCCCACTTTCTCCGTTTTCCTCGTTCCCCTCTATATTGTCTCCCTCCATGTGATTTTGGCACCACATGTTTTGTGCACAACCTCACACCTAGTCAAGATAAATTTCCTCCGTTCAAATGTCTTAGTGGGATAACATCATCCTTCAAAAGTGTATAGATGTTTCTCTCCATCTTCATGGGTATTTTGTATATGTAGATGTCTCTTTCTTTGAGTTTTTTGCACACTACGAACCTGTTCCTTCTAATGATGACATATATAGTCACTTTCCTATCACTAGCAATCTTCATTACTACCAGTTGGCTTTACCATAACTTGGAAGCTTCTCCATCATCTCTTCAAAAGTTTATCAAGATTATTCACGACCTATTGATATTTCAGTTCGGG